GGCTATTACGGAATACCTGAGATAATCACTATTTGAAGAGCAGTTCCATTTATAATGATCTTAAAACCAACAAGAACCGAAATGAACATTACGGCAAACCTAGAGTTTTAATAGCAAGTTCACCCCCACAGAGCCTAGCCCGAAAATAACAAGGGCAGGTCAATGGTTCCTAGCTACAGCTAAGGAAGTGTAATGTAAATCTGTAACTGGTGTCCATCAAATACATAAACTGAAAAACCATGGTATTTTAATTAATCTTAGCAGCAAAAATTTTTTTTTCCACAAATAACTATATTCAAACAAATATTAATTTATTCTTATATCAAATTTTATATATCGTAGATTGAAAACCGTTAAGTTTTGAATAATATTCCATCTAAAAAATTATACTGAACACATTTAAATGATATAAAATCTAACTTCCTTTTATTTTCTCTTAAATTAAAAAACCTTAAATATAAATTTCTCAGTTATCCCTTATAGGTACTTTATAAAAATTATTACTTTTTTAAATTACGTTAAAAAACAAAATAATTAATTAAATAATATTTGCAACTTTAATATAATTCAATGATTCAATTTTAAATTTAGTACAATTTTAGACGAAAAAAATATGCTCTTTCTGTTTCATATAAGTATTTAAAATTAAAAAAAAACAACAAATATTCAATGAATTTAATCAGTGAATTTAAAAACCTGCCGATTACTACAAACAGTTAAAATGCTTTTTGGCAAATTTTGTTTTCGTTATTCAATACTTGAAAACTTTGAGATCCCATATATAAAGCTCTATAAAACTTTTCCATTTAATTTTATATAATTATAACTAAATATGTAAAAAAAATTTAATAAACTATATAATTTCAACAAATTTTTATCAATATATGTAATGTAATGAAGTGTGTATAGAATTAGAATCACTAATAACATTACATTGACTAGAAAGTTTTTGGCTCAATAATCATTCTTAAAATTCCAAATTCCAGATAAAATTCATCAAAAAGTATACCAAATAAACAGAAAAAAATCATCAAATATGTTTAGCAATTTATAATTATAGCAGAGATAAATCAGTAACATTATACATTATTTAAAAATAATGTAGATAAATGTAATATAGATAATGATAATGTAGTGATACAAATATAGATGACAAATACGTGGATGATGGTAGTATACATGATGGCGATGTAGATAATAATGTACATGATAGTGATGCGATGTAGATGATGACGATGATGTAGATCATGTGATGCAAATATTGGTAAATTAGAAAAGTTGGTGTTGATGATTTAAAAAACATTTGTGCAAAACAATGCTCCGCGAAGCGGAGCTCATACCGCCGAGGGCCGAAGGCCCGAGAGAAACGTCAAGTCGGCGAAGCCGACTTGCCTACGTTTCTAGTCAATATATATTAAAATCCTATAGCTCCGTCTGCGTCGCACGATCGGCCCGAAAAAGCGTCGACTTACTGCCACAAAGGCTTTTCGGGGGAGCCGCGCGGCGTCGACCCGCGGGGGGCGAAGCCCCCCGTCTGCCTTGCTTCGTCCCAACGTCGTATTTCGATGGCGATTTTTTGCCGTCTTCGCGGTGAATTTTGAGTTTTCTTCGGGCTCTGCGAGGGGCGTGGCCCAATTTTTGTGTGAACGGCGATAGTCCGACACGCCCACCCGCTGAAACCTGACGGTCGCCGATCGCCTCGAATCGCGCGCGGGTACGGCTTTTTTATTTTTTATTTCCCCCATTTTCTACGATATTTCATTTAAAACCGTGCCGAAGATACTCATATTCATCGACCGGATGCCTTCTCCCAACTTTTTATGTACAACTTTCCGCGAAATCGAACGCGGGATTCGAAATGCGGCCGTAAATACGTTCAAATGCACTTTCTCGCGGGCCGGAAAACATGCATTTTGCTCCACAGAATTCCTATTGTCCGAGCCGGGATGCGGCGTGCGACTGGGCACCGAGTGCCCGGCCGTTCGTCCTCGGTCGTTCTGGAGCATTTTTGTAACGTTATTTTCGCGATTTCGTACTTAATTTTTGCCTTTTTCTGGGGTCTTCTCGACGACAGACGACCATTTCGCANAAGCATTCTTACATCTAACACCACCACAAATATTTAAAATTGAAATTACACATCGTCTGCAAACTAAAACACATTGGATAAGAAACTACAACATCTACAGTTTTAGAAGAAATTAAAATCTGGCCTATATGCAAAAATATACTGATATAGACCATACCTCAATAAAAAAGAATTTTACTAATATCCGTAACACATCAATGAAGATATAAACTATTTTTACCATAACATATCGGAACATATCAGAAAAACAGTGAACTCCAATGCTTCGATGTAAAGATACATCCCACATACATATGGAGAAATCGCAGAAACAAGAATTCATAGTACTAGGTTAAAATAACAAACATGTCTCTTTAATAATAAAATAATTTACAATTACAAAATACAGATCAGATACAAGACTGGTTAAAATTTTATAAATAAATAATGAAAATATAAAATATAATAAACAAATCTTTTCACAGAACAGTTGCAACAAAACCTTAGTGGAAATATCGCTGAATATACCGTCAATGAAGAAGAACAAAACTAAAGGGATTAATACCACCAGTTACAAAAACCAATAGGGAACATCTCCAAAGACCACCATTGTTTGAAGAGCGATTCCCTTCATAACGATCTTCAATCAACAACAAGAACAGAAACAGACATCCCAATAAGCCTACAATTATCATATCAAGTCCACCCCACAGAGCCTAACCCAACAACAAGGGCAAGTTAAAGGTTCTTAGCTATGACTAAAGAAGTGCAATGTAAATCTGTAAGTGGTACTAACTAAATACATAACCCAAATCATACAGCTTGAAAAACTAAGGTACAAATTAAAAATATATTTTTATTACAAATTTAAACATTTATATGAAAAAAACATTAATTGTCAATATTTCAATCATTTCAACCATTCATTTTCATCTACATTTATTGTTTTAACTTTAAAGCCTGTTATCTAAAGATCAATTTATCTATACTATAAATTCTAAATCTAAAAAATTACATTTGTAACACATATTACATACATATTTTCTGTAAAGTATTTCATTCCTTTATATTTCTGTCCAAATATTAATTATTTTTACTATAATTTTTTTTCCTATTCACTTAAATATTTTGTCATGTAAAATTTTTGTTTTAAAATACATTATTCTTTACACAGTTCAGTCACAAGAAAACTTTGGCAAACATACCACTGAACAATCCATCAATGAAGAACGAATCATTTGAAAAAATTGGATACTATCAGTTACAAAACCAACAACAGGAACCAAAAATGACCATCATGGTAAAACTAGAGTTTTAATAACAAGCCCATCCCCACAGAGCCTAGCCTAAAAATAACAAAGGCAGGTCAAAGATTCCTAGCTATGGCTAAGGAAGTGCATTGTAAGTCTGTAACTGATGGCAACAAAATACATAAATTACAACATAACGGCCCAAAAAACCATGGTACTTTAATCAACACCAAAAATATTGTTTTTCAAAAATATTCAAACAAATATTTATTTTTATATCAAATTTTATAAATTGAAGACTGAAAACCATTAAGTTTTAAATTTTTATTTTTTTTCACCTAAAAAATTATATTCCGCACTTTTTTATAAAATATAAAAACTTAATTTTACGTTTATTTTCTCTTAAATTAAAACATAAATTTCTCACAAAGTCCTTAAAGATGTTATATAAAAATTGCTATTTTATAAAATTCCATTCAAACAAGACAAATATGTATATTCATTACATTATATATCCTTCACTTTCATATAGTTAAAATTTAAAACAATGAGTTTTGTCACTAAATTGACACGTTTAACCTTTTGTTACAAACATTTAAAATACTTTTTGTCACAATTCCATTTTATAATACAAAACTTAAAAGTTTTCAGACCTCAAAAATTCTATAAAACTTTCTCCATTTAATTTTATATAATTGCAACTAAGTTTTTAAACCTTAAACATATAAAAATTTATCAATAAACTATATACTCTCAACTGATTTTTATTCATATGAAATAAAAAATTTTTAATAGGATTACAATTATTACTAATACCATTATTTTAACTAGAAAATATTTAGCTAACAATCATTCTTACAATTCTACATTTCAAATAAAATTCATTAAAAATTATAGCAATACTCAAAAAAAATCTAAAGATTTTTCAAAGAAAAAAATTAACTTAAAACACTTATTTCAACCTTCTCCGAGGAGCAGAAATTTTCAAAAAATTATTAATGAGTTCTACGTGTACAGCAAAAAATAATTTAATAAACTTTTTTTAGTTTTCAATTTATGACTGTTATTCCATATTTTCTTCATAACATTAAAAGCCTGTATCTCTCAAGACGTGATCATGCTACTGAGATCACTCTTATACAAAACATATTCTTTTTAACTATATCCACAGAACACAAGATATTCTAAATAAATACGAAATATTCTTTTTATAAAATATTCGAATATAATATTCCAAGTACATCCCATGCATATTATTCGGGAACAATTAAGCCTGACACCAATTTCCTTTTTGAATATCCATTTTACAAAATATCATAGGAATATTCTACATAGGTAGGTACATTATGAATATTCAAGATAAACGTAATTAATATAATAAGTTACATGTTTAACATGTATGGAAATTTCATTATTAAAAAATCAACATTTATTGAGCTTAACATTTCATCGTAAAATAAAAATGAACTTTCTTTTCGTTATCAAATTATGTTATGTTATTACTACAGACTCAATGTATGATGATCATTGCTACCCTATTATGGTCACAAATTAAACCATACCTATTAAATAACGAACTATACCATTACTTAGAAGAAACATTTTATTCATAATTTCAATTTTAGTAATTTTTTTTCCATCAAGTTGGCAATATGTTGTGATGTAGTTGTTGATATTGGTACTGCACTTTTCTGATGAAAATGTCATTTTGTCAATGTGAATTTTTTTAGATTGAAATGAAAATTGAAGTATAAAAAAAAGTAAACAAAGTGTTTTATATTATATTGGATATAATGAAGTAATTTTGAGATTAAAGATAGGTTCAGCAAGTTCTGTGTGTGAATAGTTTTTACCATACTTAGTCGATGGCTAATTTATATTTTATTAGATGAATAAAAAATGAGTGTTATGTGTTATACGTGCATACAAATAACAAGGAAGGATGTGTCTGGTGTCTGACTGGTCATTTTCAATTCATCTGTATTTATTTGCTACAATTTATGACACCAATCATAACCGTACTAATGTCAATTCTGAAAACTTCATCAGTGACAATTGGTAAACTGAATTAACAAATGTATATTATTCCAAGATCTAATTAAAAATTCAATATTTAGATGCTGTGTAGAAAATTCAATAAGAAGACTAATTCTGAAGAAATAGAGCAAGCTCTAAAAATGGTTAGTAAAAGCCAATGAAAGAGAGGCAGAAAACGAAACCAATGAAGGAAAAAATGATGTTATTATCTAATATATGTTTTAATATGTACCTTTATAACATAATATAAATATATTTATTTCTTTACTTATTCAAGAGTGGAAACTTTTTTTTGTGACGTCAGAGTTTCACACACACCGAAATGGGCAAATGTATAGATCTAACCAAGGCATATATGATAAATATGTCATCTTTCTTAGACAATTTGGTTTAATTGGAAGTGCTTAAAACTTTTTAAATTCAATACACTACATTTTTCTAGAACACTGATATACAGGGTGTCTCAGGTTTAAATAGCAGGACTTCAGGAGGCTTTAGAAGACCTCATTTTAAGACTAAAAGTTTCTATATTTATGGGTCTTAAAACGCTTCGTTTCTGAGATACAGGGCGTTGAATTTTATTTTTGTTTTATTTATTTATTTTTTAACTAAATAATCGCTGACAAAAAATATCGTCATGTTGCGGCGAATGACTTAGTATTGGAGTGCAAATAATTTGACACCGAAATTCATCGCATCTTAATTCCAGTGGTGGAGATACAGGGGTATCTATTAATATTTTTATAAAAAATATATAGCCAAATTGAAATTTTGCAAATGTTTTCGAAAAATATGAAAGAGCATGCAATTTTACCCAGAAAAGGCCCTCTTGTCCGAAGTCGATAGGACGTGGCGTTTTCAAGAAAAACTGAAAATACTGTTTAGATGTCAAATCAAGAAAAACCGGAAATACTGTTTAGAAGTCAAATCACACTTGAAATGCCATTCTAATATTGACATTTGCGCTTATTACAGTTTCTAATTGTGTGTGT